CTTTAATTAGAATTTTAACTTACTTTAAAATCTAACTCTGGCTAGAATAAATTCTCATTATTTTCACTAATAAATGATCCCATTTAAGAATAATTATTCCAACTTACCACCTCTGACTAGATGTAAAACAATGTTAGTAAAACAAAACATAAATATATTGATATAATCGAATGTATTATGTATATATTCTATACATAAAATGGAAATGTATAGTACATAATGTGTATTGTACATAATATGTATGGTACATAATGTGTGAAGTACATAATGTGTAAAGCACAATATATGTAAAGTACATAATGTGTTCAGTACATAATACATATGGTACATAATATGTATGGAACATAATATGTAAATTACATAATATGTATCATACATGATGTGTATTGAACATAATGTGTAAAGCACATAATATGTATGGTACATACTATGTATAGAGCATATGCATTGGTACATAATATGTAAAGTACATAATATGTATGGTACATAATATATATGGTACATAATATGTATGGAACATAATACGTAAAGTACATAATATGCATAGTACATAATGTGTATTGTACATAATGTGTAAAGCACATAATATGCATTGGTACATACTATAAATAGAGCATATCCATTGGTACATAATATGTATAGTACATAATATGCATTGGTACATAATGTGAATTATACAAAGTATATAATAGATAAAAGATGTGATAGTAAAATGTATGTACAAAGAAATGTATCATAATGAAATATACATAAAAAACTAGGTATGATGAAATAAAATATAAATGTTAAGACTTAAAGAGAGTGCATTTCTTGCTGTTCAAGATAATGTGTGACAATATATATATACAATATGCATAGTAAATAGAAATACATTGACACTAACTGGAAAACTGAACATTAAGGATTACAGACACTCTAACATACAATAAAAATCAGTTTCTGATTACTTTTATTCTTTGTATCTGTAAGCTCAAGACATTTGTTGTTGTTTTTTTTCCAAATATTTGAACATTTCATCATCTTAATTGTTTATTCTTAGAGCCACACTCCATCTTTGTATTTTTGCAAAAAATTCAATCACCATGGTCATAGAGGATATATGTACAATTATATGTCCGCCAAAAAGAAGCACTTTCTACTTTCAACAGCAGATTTCACATCTTTTATGACAGGGGCATCATTTAGTACTGCATGAATGACCGCTATCATATACACTAAATAAGCATTGAATAGAGCACTCTCTACTTTCAACAGAAGATTTAACATCTTTTATGACAGGGGCATCATTTAGTACTGAATGATAGCTATCTTCTAAATCTAAATAAGCATTGAACAATTGTAAATCAATTTAAAAAAAAAACAGTTGTATAAATATATAGCTATATCAAAATTCTTGATTTAATATTTATGAAAAAGAAAGTAATTAAGTAGAAGTAGGTATATAAAGTTATTTAGCCGAAATAAAATATTGGTGAGAACAAAATGTGTTAAAACATCAGGATTATTGAACTTGTAATAAAATTAACAAATAATGACTTACAAAATAACATTGTACCAAATAACAGCAACACAGACTGTGTTATAATAACAGACCATGTTATTGTAACAAAGACAATGTTATTATAACAAAGACAATGCTATAATAACACAGGCAATGTTATAATAACACAGGCAATGTTATAATAACAAAAAGACAATGTTATAATAACAAAGGCAATGTTATAATAACAAAAGCAATGTTATAATAACAAAGACAATGTTATAATAACAAAGACAATGTTATAATAACAAAGACAATGTTATAATAACAAAGACAATGTTATAATAACAAAAGCAATGTTATAATAACAAAGACAATGTTATAATAACAAAGACAATGTTATAATAACAAAGACAGTGTTATAATAACAAAGACAATGTTATAACAACAAAGACAGTGTTATAATGACAAAAACTTTGTTATAATAACAAAGACAATGTTATAACAACAAAGACTATGTTATAATAACAAAGACTATGTTATAATAACAAAGACAGTGTTATAATAACAAAGACAATGTTATAACAACAAATACAATGTTATAATGACAAAAACTATGTTGTAATAACAAAGGCAATGCTATAATAACACATGCAATGTTATAATAACAAAGACAATGTTGTAATAACAAAGACAATGTTATAATAACAATACAATGTTTTATGATACTGTTATTTATTATGAACAAGATTGTCTTTATAAGAAATTTGTTATTCTTTGTGCTCTATATGTTAAAGGGACTCCACTGAAGTTTTTAGACATGACAATAGTGAAAAATATTGTTCTGAGATTTGAGCATCATTTGATGGTAGTTCTATAACAGTAACTTGTATGCAAATTTTTTCACTCATTTCAGAATATTTTCCAGAATAATAATTTCTATTGTCCAAATGACTCAAAACTGAAAAGCGTTCTAATAATTTCACCCAAATCCACCAAGAATTGTACTAAACATTAACTACCAATATAATTTTGAGTATATATATTCTTCATAATCCTTTGTATATTTTTATATGAAGTGCTTTAGTTTATCAATATAAGAATTTCCAGGTTTATACTTTTTTAGGATTTCTGATGCAGTGGAGTTCCTTTAATAAATATATATATGTACATTTATCATTTCTGGAAATATCATGAAAATTCATGTTAAGTAGATAATTTACTTCATAAACAAATTCTCTGTGAAGTAGATAATTTACTTCATAAACAGATTCTCTGTAACTATGCTAGTGCTCAATATTTCAATGTAGGGAAAACATGTATTTTAACAGTTTGAGAAGAGATCTGGGGAGGGTTAGTAAGGTCTTATCTAACAGCAGAAGTAGAAAATAAATCACTAATAAATAAATACAATTACAAACCACAAATATACAGTTCTTTGAATTATATGTTTCATATAATATGCAGGATTTCTAGTGAAATTATAATTTTTTTAAGGTATAAATAAGTAAACTATGCTATGTCTAATTATGTGGACATTTTAACAGATCCTAATATAGGAAGCAATGCATACACAGTAAAAAAAGCAAACTTTCATGTAAAAAAATCATCAACTTCTATATGAAATTATCACTGAACTTTCCCTATCTCTAACATAGAAAATCTTTTTTGCTAGCTAACACACACACAAAAAAAAAAAAGCTTCTTTACTGTTCATCATAATTACCATTGTATAAAGCTATATGATTATTATTTTTGTCCTGAAAAACTGGACAAGTTTAACAGCTGTTTCATTCTTAAAATAGAAAACTGCAGAACTGTAATTCTCCTTATTTTATTTGACATTTTCTTTACACACTCAACAGAGGTTAAAGGTCAGTAGCAAACATTCAAGGTCAGCAAGAAAATGATCACAAATTTTTTCCTAGCAAGAAAATGATCACAAATTTTTTCCTATGTATCAAAATGTTTCCATAAAGAAACCTATAATGTAGCAAACATAAATGTTATAAGAAAGGTTTGTTAAATATACATGTAATACTGTATGGCTGGCTTTAAGATAACACTTTAAACTTTTACATGTATTGACTAGATCATTGTAACACTGTTCACAGCTAACATTGTACACAGCTGACACTGTACACAGCTGACACTGTACAAAGCTAACTCTGTACACAGCTAACACTGTACACAGCTTACTCTGTACACAGCTAACACTGTACACAGCTTACTCTGTACACAGCTGCCACTGTACATAGCTGACACTGTACACAGCTGCCACTGTACACAGCTGCCACTGTATACAGCTGCCAATGTACACAGCTAACACTGTACATAGCTAACACTGTACACAGCTGACACTGTAAACAGCTGACACTGTACACAGCTCGTGCACCTACCTTATACATAAATATAACATACAGTTGAACACAACAGATGTCTAGAATGATCCTTATAATTGATATAGGACATAATTGATACAAATTATTACAATTCATTTCAGTTTCAGCGAAAATAAAGTAACTTAAAATTGTTGAGCATTGAAATGCATGTTTTCTTAACAAACAAATAGGAAAAGTCTGACTTTTGTATTTGAATTTCTGCCATTAAAACTGGCAAATCCTAAATTTCTGACAATACATGAGCCTTAAATTTGTCACTGAACCCTGCAAATCCTAAATTTCTGATAATACAGGGGCCTTAAACTTGTCATTTAACCTGGCAAATCCTAAATTTCTGACAATACAGGGGCTTTTAACTTGTCATTGAACCAAAACAATTTTAAACTGGCTTTGTTTCCATGCCAACTACTTCTGTTTTCATGTTAACTATTTTTATTTCCAAACTTAGAACTACTCATCTACATTTGTATCTAAGAAACACATAAATGTTGAAATTCCATTTAGTCCATCACATTGTCTATTGAAAACAAGCAAACATTTGTTCCTCAAACCAAACATACATGTAAAGTGACATTATGCCCATCCAAGGGTATATAATGAGTGAATGGGTGAATATCAAAATAAGTTTTCATTTTGCCATATAATTCCTATTCGATAATTAAGTTCGCATAAACAATAAATAACGCAGAGATCTCAAGGAAATTTCTGTAAATATCCATTAGAATTTTATGCTTAGTTTTTAAAAAGAGTGGGGCAGTCTTTTTAGATTTTAGGCAGATTTATAACTTTATTCAAAACATTTTCCAATATCAACTGTTGGTCAAACACTATTTTGTCAGTTACTCTTTTGAAATATAAAGTCAATTCAGCTTAACTTGACTATGAAAATATGAGCATAATGTCACTTAATTAAAAGATGAAAAACAACTGAAGTGTTTATTTTATCTAAAATCACAGTTTGTGTACGAAACTATTTACATGCTTCAATGGAAACAAATAAATTTACATAGAAATTATATCATTTACATGGAAACAAAATATATTTACATGAAAATTATTATATTTACAAGGTAAATAGCTTATACAATTAAAATCCTTGTTATTTTTGTTAAATTCACATCATTAACTCATAATTTAAGTACACTTGAAAAAAAGCCTCTAACATGCATGTTAAAATAAATTTAACAACTTATGTCAATGAACAAATATTCTCCTCTATGTAGATAAATACCTATTCCCTATAGTGTATGTAGATATATACCTATTGTCTATAGTTTGTTTAATTGAGTTTTACATTGCACCGACACAGTATAGGTCATATGGTGACGTTCCAGCTTTACTGGTGGAGGAAGACCTCAGGTGCCCTTCCGTGCATTATTTCAGGCATGAAAGGAAACCTGAGTAGAACCACCGACGTTCCATAAGCTACCTGGATAGCTTCCTCACATGAAAAAAAATCCGATTCCCTGAAGAGATTTTAACCCACAGCAGTGAGGGGCAAATGGTTTGAAGTCAACAACCTTAACCACTGGGCCACGGAAGCCCTATATTCTCTATACTGTATGTAGATATATACCTATTTTGTATAGACAATTAAAACCTAAAATACAAACATCGTAATGACAAGAACAGCATAACAATCACTAGAATAATAACTTTGGTAAAATATTAATTAACTATTTAAAGTACAGGTGCCATCAAGTCCAAGTTAGATCGTATTTTTTCCATTCTACTGGTGGAGCTACATGTACACGTTGATCTTTAAAAGTAATGCTGACCACTCCCCTATACGCTGTTCTTTCTACACCAGCCTAAAAGAATAGTAAAGAATTGTTCAATAAATTATTTGGAAGTTTGTTTCAGTTTAGTTTCAAGTCAAAATGACAGTAAAGATGATGTGGAAATTTTAAACTGATATTGTTTGTATCATATATTAACATAACATATATACATGTGTCATGGTTCAGGACTGTTCACTATTTAGGGGAGAAGATGTGTAAGTGGCCCGATAGCTCAGTCAGTAGAGCCGCGGTACAGTATTGTGAGGGTCCTGGGTCAGGCTGCACATTTTTCTCACTCTGTGACATTTGGCGCCCAACGTGGGGCCGTGACTGTATATAGCTCAGAGTTTAATATACATTGCTCTGTAACTCTGTGAAATTCTAGGACAAATTTCAATTTAGCAGGGGAGTATGTCACGGTTCAGAACTGTTCACTATTTAGGAGAGAAGATGTGTAAGTGGCTGGATAGCTCAGTCGTTAGAGCCGCAGTACGGTATTCAGAGGGTCGTGGGTTCGAGTCCCGGTCAGGCTGCACATTTTTCTCACTCTGTGACACATGACAGAAGCTGACATCTAGTTTAAACTATTCAACTTCTTGATTCTAGCTAACAAGATACTTTCTTCACAAGGAACATTGAAATGTCGTCCCTGGTGAAATGAAATCTGCATCAGTGACAGGAAATACCTGTTTTTTACTTATCAACTAGAAATGTACAGGGTTAAGGTTAAGGGAAATGTTATAAATTTTGTGGGTTTTAAGTTACGACAAGGTAAAATGGTGACATTCCAAGTTTACTGGTGAAGGAACTCACCAGGCACCACTTTGAGAATTATTTCAAACATAAGCATCTGAATAGAACCACCAACATTCTGTAAGCTAGCTGGATGGATAGCTTTTCTCACATTAAAGCAGCATGCCTCCAGATTCATGATAATTTTCATTTAAATTTTTAAAATGTATTTAAAAGTAAAAAGTGAAGTGAACAAAGAAAGTAATTTACTCATTGCAAACGGCACTTACAATTCACGTAAATTACCAAAAAAGTGGTCATAATATACATAAATACCTCTTACTGTGTTAGTAACGGAGTAGAATTATAGTGCTTGATACTGCAAAATCAGTCATTAATTGCACATTACATGTAAATAATTATTTAAATATTCAATCTTTTGACTTCTCTGAAAGACTTAATACATTTTTCTAAAAATTGAATTTCTTGAAACATTATGGCTCATCTTGAGGCATGCAGCTATAAAGAGCCCAAAATACCAGATAGGATAACATATATAAGAAAGTTCTTCTCTAAGACAAGCAGAGGTTTTATTTATAGTTGTAGTACAGTCGTAAAAATACAGATATTAAAGGGCACTGAAGTTTTTTGACATGATGGGACTGAAAATATTTTTCCAGATGTATGTACCATTTGAAGTAGGTTTAGACCACTAATCTTTGTGCAAAATTTCAGATCATTCGCGCACTTCGTTTTTCTGCAATAATTATTCAAATTGTAAAAAAAATTACACAAAATGAAAGACGTTTAAACGTTTTTTCACTCAAAACTGGCTAAGAAAAGCATAAAAATACGATTTTCAATTTATTTCAAAGTATATATCTTGACTATCTTTGCATATATTTCTCTTTAAAGTGCCCTAGCTCACGTATGTAAGAAATTCAAATGTTATGTTTTTAGGCTTTTAAACCTCAGTGGAGTGCCTTTAAGTTTGACAAATACCAACATCCCTTACCTTAAAATCATCCATAATACCCAAATGTTTGGCTATAGCTTTAAAGTCAGGTTTTGTCCTGTATGTAACCCTAACCTCAGATAAATGTTTAGTATTATCTGTAGCTACTTCCTTCAGTGAGACCTCAGGTAAATCATAAATAAACTTGTGGAATGCTGGGTCATAATTCTCCTGCAATAAAACAATACACTATGCCATACACTTTATAATTTTATATAATACACTAAATTATACACAATATAATATACACTATATAAAACACCTTACATAGAGGATATTGAATGAGTGTAGTTTAACCCTTTCACTGCCATAGGGACGGCTTAAGCCGTCCCTGTTATTTTCGGCGTATTTGCCATATGGACGGCTTTAGCCGTTTCTATAATAATCATAATAATAATAATAAATTAATAATAATAATAAAAATAATAATAAATATAAAGAAAATTATACCATCAACAATAATTATTATTATACTAGCATATTTGGAAACATATATAATTATTATAATACTAATAACAAATAATAATAATAATTATATTAATTAATAATATAGTAATTTTTTAGAAAACCCTCTGGCAAATAGGTGATCAATAAAACAATAACCCTCTGGCAGCGAAAGGGTTAATACTAAATTTATTGAACGAGTTGAATAAAATCATATTATGCGAGCCTCTGGCAAGCATAATATTGTTTTATTCAACAATTTATTTATTACGCCTTTTCCCAACAGTATTTCAGTCATATAGGCGGGTAGTTTCCTAACCATCGTTCCTGGAGAGTTACAACAGTACTAGACTACCTTCCTCCGCGCTAAACTACCAAAGCATCTCCTGGGGATTGAACCCCCGCCAGAGAGGTAAATGGATTAGAAGTCATCGACTCTATCCTTATATATAGCGCAAATGACGTCATGTCTAAGTTTTATTACACTAGTGTAATATTATCGTTTTTATTAAATGGCTTTATTACACTCCTGCATCGCGGTTTATGTGATAAAATACACTTTGTAATACACTTTGTAATATAACAAGAATTGTTATTGGAAACAAACAAATGCAGGGCCCAGTAGAAGAATCATGACTTCAGACTGGCATCAAAGGCATAGTTACTATATAAAGAGTGTTACAAGAATATAGAGACATTAACAAATACTTTCTCGTATTCTTAGTGAGCCTAATTATTACAAATCCATGAACGAACGACAAAGATATAACCAGACACAACCATTGATGTACTAGTTTGACATTCAAGTATAATCTTCACCTTTAATCTGTTGACATGGAATTTGCTTGTGACAAGTTTTCCTAATGTGCCACAAAAGTATGTCTAGTTTTCTTTTCTTCATCCATTCATGAATGACAAAATTGATGACTGGATATAACTAATAATGTATTTTTACAGAACTATAAATCTTAGAATTACCAGGGTGACCTTGATCTTTAAGCTCAAGGTCTTTAAGCTACAAACTCATCATAACTTGTTTTAAAGAACTATATATTTAAGCTAAGTTATTACAAAGTCTGTCACTGAAAGACAGAAAGAGGTAGGTCTGTTGGTGAGACTTAAACACCCAAATGTCTATGTACTTGGCTAGGTGGGCCTGCTAGTGAGGTCTAAGCACCAAAATGTCTACCTTCTTGGCTAGGTTATCTTGTTGGTATGGTACAGAAAGCTACAGTGTTAACATAATAAAGAATTGTTTACCTTAATAAGGTAGGAGAGATCTTTCTGTGTAAAAGCCACATATTTCTCATTCAACTGTATAAACTTTAAATGTTTCTCAAAAAATAGTCCCCTGAAAAAATACAACATTATCATTTTGTGAAATTATATGATTAAATGTTAATATATATTTTGTGATATCTTTTATTAAGCTGGTACATGTTAAGAATATGCCGTTATTGTAATCATTCCATTCAGTACTTTAACACCTTTATTATTTATAGAATTGTTTCAAATATACATTGTAAGTTTGATAAAAGACCTGATCACACATTTCTTTGTCATATTTCGAAACATTCTTTAGTTATATAAATAACCTTTTGTGTAATTAACACATTATTTTTTCATTAAAACATTTGTGGTTTGTTAAAGACCAAACAAACCAGCAATGAGAAAAATCAATCTCAGTACCTGAAGAGTCATGTAAGATGTTGTATGAAAACTTGTTTTCAAATGATAAAAGAAAGTTTGCCTAAAAAAAGAAATAATTTTTGCGTGATAAATTATTTGTGAATAATTCCAATTCGCAAAAATCGCAAAATATTTCCACGTCACAAAATGAACCACTAATACAGTAATAAAACTTACTTGCTAACACCTTTTTTACCAAATGTACTAGTCCTACTGATCTCAGGACGTATACATGAACGATCTTTTCTCTGGTCCGGATGTCTCATCCAGTCGTCCCAAAACCTGCAAATAAAACTCAACTTAATTAACGGTAAACTTCATAAGACAAATATGATTCCAATAAGACCAACCACACGCGTACAGTCAATTTTTTATTATTCAGATCAATTTCGAACTGGTATGTTCTTCGTCAGAGAATAAACAGGAAGTGACGTCACATGACACCAACGTCAAAGATGGCGGGAAATATACATTGTGACGTTACGTTATATTAAAATCCATTAAAAATTAATTAAGATTTTGATATATCTATAAAAATATATATAAAAACATTCACGGATTATGAAATGCAAGTATTTCCTATATAATATATATATATATATATATATATATATATATATATATATATATATATATAAAAACTAAGTATTTCCTATATTAAAAATATATATATATATATATATATAAAAATTAAGACAAATATAAAATTCCTACATCAAATACAGTAAAAAAAAACTTTATCAATTGCAACATTCACATACACATAAAATATCTTCATTTCTTAAAAATCTATATAAAATGTATCAGGTAACTTATAACATATAACTGGTATCTCCTCTAACAAGAGGGCCATGATGGCCCTGAGGTCGCTCACCTGTATATAGGCCACCTGGAGCAGGGCCAATTTTAACCCAAGGGCTTTTATTTGAACAAACTTGGTAGACACCCATAAGAAGATGTTTCATGCTAAACATCTAACCTCTAGCTCATTGGGTTTTTTAAAAGAAGATTTTTCAAGTTTTTACTGTACACATATAGTTAAAAACAATGACACCCCTGGGACGGGGCCAGTTTGGACCCCAGGGCTTTTATTTGAACTAACTTTGTAGACACTTACTAGAAGATGTTTCATGCTTAATATCTAAACTCTAGCTTTTGGGTTTTTTCAAAGAGAATTTTTAAGTTTTTGCTATACACATATAAGGAAAATCAATGACCCCGGGGCGGGGCCAATTTTGACCCCAGGGCTTTTATCTGAACAAACTTTGTAGACACAACTCACTAGAAGATGTTTCATGCTTAATATCTAAACTCTAGCTATTAAGGTTTTTTCAAAGAAGATTTTTTATGTTTTTGCTATGCACATGTAATGAAAATCAATGACCCCCTGGGGCGGGGCCAATTTTGACCCCAGGGCTTTTATTTGAACAAACTTGGTAGACATCCATTAGAACATGTTTCATGCTAAATATCTTAGCTCTAGCTCTTTGGGTTCTTTCAAAGAAGATTTTTTAAGTTTTAACTATATGCATATGGGGAAAATCAATGACCCCCTGGGGCGGGGCCAATTTTGACCACAGGGCTTTTATTTGCACAAACTTGGTAGACACTCATTAGAAGATGTTCCATGCTAAATATCTTAGCTCTAGCTCTTAAGGTTCTTTAAATGGAGATTTTTTAAGTTTTTACTATATGCATAAATTATAGGGAAAATCAATGACCTTTGGGTTTTTTAAAAGAAGATATTTAAAGTTTTTTCTTTCGGTTGCCATGGCAACCAGAGTTCTGCATGGAATTAAATTCTTTGAACAATTTTTAAAGGTGACCACCAAAGGAACATTCCTGTGAAGTTTGGATGAAATTGGCTTAGTGGTTTATGAGGAGATGTCATTTAAAGTAAAAGTTTACGGACTGACGGATGACGGACGGACGACGGACGAAAGGCAATCACAAAAGCTCACCCTGTCACTTTGTGACAGGTGATCTAATAAACTATAGTCATCGAATTTAGCACTGGCTCGGTGGCCCATGGCCATTTAAAATTTTAAGAAAATTTAGTTAAATATATAGTAGAATAAATTCAAATCTGGAATTCGAAATCTTAAATTCATCAACTAAAAAACAAGGTTTTGATACATTATGCTGAGGGTATTGTTGACAGATTGTCAAAGGATATCATAGGACGTGGATGTCTGCTTTGACCCTCTACAGACATAATGACAGACTTAAGGACTAACAATTCTATATTTCTATATGCTCCCTGCGAAATGGGGGCATAAAATAGGGACATAAAATGGGGGCATAAAATATAAAGTCAACTTGGTCACCTGACAGATGGATAAAAAAATCTTCTTGCATATCAGACAGGATTATCTATTATTTACACCAGTGCTAGAAAAACCTGTCTTACACCCCCCCATGTAATACAAGTCGCATTTTTTAAATGATGTCATTGTCGCGCACCTTTTATGAATGAATTGCGTTCATAGGATGTCATTTTACCGTTATGAATGAAATTGTAAGTTCATACGCTACTATAAGAAACAAGAGGGCCATGATGGCCCTGAAGTCGCTCACCTGTATATAGCCCCCCCGCAGGGCCGATTTTAACCCAAGGGCTTTTATTTGAACAAACTTGGTAGACACCCATAAGAAGATGTTTCATGCTAAACATCTAAGCTCTAGCTCATTGGGTTTCTTAAAAGAAGATTTTTTAAGTTTTAACTATACATATATAGTTAATAAATGACACCCCTGGGGCGGGGCCAGTTTTGACCCAAGGGCTTTTATTGGATCAAACTTTGTAGACACTTACTAGAAGATGTTTCATGCTAAATATCTAAACTCTAGCTATTTGGGTTTTTTCAAAGAAGATTTTTAAGTTTTTGCTATACACATATAAGGAAAATCAATGACCCCCGGGGTGGGGCCAATTTTGACCCCAGGGCTTTTATTTGAACATACTTGGTAGACACCCATTATAACATGTTTCCTGCTAAATATCTTAACTCTAGTTCTTTGAGTTCTTTAAAAGAAGATTTTTTAAGTTTTTACTATATGCATATAAGGAAAATCAATGACCCCTGGGGCGGGCCAATTTCGACCCCAGGGCTTTTATTTGAACATACTTGGTAGACACTCATTAGAAGATGTTTCATGCTAAATATCTTAGCTCTAGCTCTTTGGGTTCTTTAAAAGAAGTTTTTTAAGTTTTTACTATATGCATATAGGGAAAATCAATGACCCCCTGGGGCGGGACCAATTTTGACCCCGGTGCTTTTATTTGAACAAACTTGGTTGACACTCACTAGAAGATGTTTGATGCCAAATATCTAAGCTCTAGCTCATTGGGTTTCTTGAAAGAGATTTTTTAAGTTTTTACTATACACATATAGTTAATAAATGACACCCCTGGGGCAGGGCCAGTTTTGACCCCAGGGCTTTTATTTGAACAAACTATGTAGACACTTACTAGAAGATGTTTCATGTTTTATATCTAAACTCTAGCTATTTGGGTTTTTTCAAAGAAGATTTTTAAGTTTTTGCTATACACATATAAGGAAAATCAATGACCCCCGGGGCGGGGCCAATTTTGACCCCAGGGCTTTTATTTGAACATACTTGGTAGACACCCATTAGAACATGTTTCATGCTAAATATCTTAGCTCTAGCTCTTTGAGTTCTTTTAAAGAAGATTTTTTAAGTTTTTACTATATGCATATAAGGAAAATCAATGACCCCCTGGGGCGGGGCCAATTTTGACCCCGGGGCTTTTATTTGAACAAACTTGGTAGACACTCATTAGAAGATGTTTCATGCTAAATATCTTAGCTCTAGCTCTTTGGGTTCTTTAAATGAAGATTTTTAAAGTTTTTACTATATGCATATAGGGAAAATCAATGACCCCCTGGGGCGGGGCCAATTTTGACCCCAGGGCTTTTATTTGAACAAACTTGGTAGACACTCACTAGAAGATGTTTCATGCCAAATATCTAAGCTCTAGCTCTTACGGTTTTTTAAAAGAAGATATTTAAAGTTTTTTCTTTTGGTTGCCATGGCAACCAGAGTTCTGCATGGAATTAAATTCTTTGAACAATTTTTAAAGGTGACCACCAAAAGAACATTCCTGTGAAGTTTGGATGAAATTGGCTTAGTGGTTTATGAGGAGATGTCATTTAAAGTAAAAGTTTACGGACGGACGGACGACGGACGGACGGACGCCGGACGAAAAGCGATCACAAAAGCTCACCCTGTCACTTTGTGACAGGTGAGCTAAAAAGGGTGTAATGAGAATATTAGTTTTCGTAATTTCTGGTCTGAAAATAATTGATATGTCATATGCAAGAAAAAGAATCAAACACCGGCTGCCGGTACAGACGGGAATATCTAGCTCTCAGGTAACTGTTTAGCGGAAACTCGGCATGGCCTTGTTACCACCGTAGACAGTTACCCTCGAACTAGACATTCCAGTCTGTACCAGCAGCCGGTGTAAGATTCTTATTTATAATCACCAGTGCAAGAAAAACTTGTCTTACACCCCCCCCCCCCCCATGTAATACAAGTCGCATTTTTTAAATGACAATATTGCCGCGCACCTTTTATGAATGAATTGCGTTCATAGGATGTCATTTTACCGTTATGAATGAAGTTGTAAGTTCATTAGCTACTATAAGAAAAGAGGGTGTAATGAGAATATTAGTTTTCGTAATTTCTGATCTGAAAAGAATTGACATGTAATATGCAAGAAAAAGAATCAAACACCGGCTGCCAGTACAGATGCGATTATCTAGCTCTCAGGTAACTGTTTAGCGTAAATTCTACAGAGCCTCGTTGCCACCCTAAACAGTTGCCCTCGAGCTAGATATTCCAATCTATACCAGCAGCCAGTGTAAGATTCTTATAATATGCCTCATAAAAAACTTTTAATAAATTAACTTACGCATCTGGCCATTTGGGACCAAGCTCTAGCCACATGTTTCTTTCCATCATCCAACCAAGTCCAGGGAAAAAATCTGTCCTATGTAATAACTCTGTAATAATCACATGTTTATATTATTGTAAAATCTGTCCTATGTAATAACTATGTAATAATCACATGTTTACATTATTGTAAATTCTTTCCTATGTAATAACTCTGTAATAATCACATGTTTACATTATTGTAAATTCTGTCCTATGTAATCACTCTGTAATAATCACATATTTACATTATTGTAAAAGCTGCCCTATGTAATAACTCTGTAATAATCACATGTTTACATTATTGTAAAATTTGTCCTCTGTAATAACTCTGTAATAACCAGATATTTACATTATTGTAAAAACAAATTTATATTGAAAGTTCTACAGGAAAATGCTGCTTTTTAAAGAGACATTACTTACAAAAACAAAATGATGTGGGCAATATCATAATTTAAGATTATTGAGACAATTAAAGATAACCAAGATAATTAAAGTTTGTTTGTTTCATTTTACGCCTTTTCCCAACAGTATTTCAGTCATATAGGCGGGTAGTTTCCTAACCATTGTTTCTGGAGAGTTACACCAGTACTAGACTACCTTCCTCCACGCTAAACTACCAAAGCATCTCCCGGGGATCGAACCCACACGCCAGAGAGGTAACTGGATTAGAAGTCATCGACTCTAACCCCTCAACCACGGAGGGGGTATATTATTACAATGTAGAGTATATTATTACAATGTAGTGTGCCAAGATAACACAAGGAAGTAAAGTAATATCCTCTACAAGTTATACCTGGATCATTTTTCACCATTCCACGTTTACCATTATCATTCCATGCTGATACACACCATAGTGAATTATCTGACATTAACACTCTAAATGTGGCAGCAAAATACTCAAAGAAATCTGGTGAGATGTCCAAATCATCTGAAATTAACACAAGTATAATTATAACATAACCACGATATTCTATTCAAAGCTAGATTATCTTCAGTGCCTTTTTTTTTTATTTGGTTTTACGTCACACCTACACACAGTATAGGTCATTTGGTGTGGTTCCAACTTTACTGGTGGAGGAAGACCTCAGGTGCCCTTTCGTGCTTTATCTTAGGCACGAACCCGCACCTGAGTAGAACCACCCCCGTTCCTTAAGCTAGCTGGATAGCTTCCTCAAATGAAAGAATCCAAAGTCCCTGTCGGGATTCGAACCCAGTAGGCTTAGGTGACCAAGTGGTTTAACTCTTTCACTTGCACCTCACTGCTGTGGGTGCTAAGTCCTACAAGTAAGCTTATTTCAAGTATGAATCTATCTAGCTGGCTTACAGAATATTGGCGGTTCCACTAAGGTGCCCCTCTGTGCCTGAAATAATGCCTGAAGGGGCACCAGAGGTCTTTATCTACAAGTTAAGCTGAAAAGTGGTGGTATGACCTTCATAGTGCCGGTGTGACTCTCACAAACCGTGTCTGCAATTTTCATGTTATTTCGTTGTGATTTATGCTTCCGATGGATCACTTTTTTTCCAGATTTTTAAAAAAAAAATATCAATATTAGAATATAATCTTAAATGCTTCAATTTTATCAGGTAAAAGTAGTTGGTCAATTTTTACTGACTAACTTACTGTTAATGAAGAGCTATAGAAAAATGTAATATAGAAGTACCTTCCACAATAATTACTGCTGAGTGGTTGTAGGTATGAAATACTTGATTTAATGCAAATTTATAATGCCTGGAAATCTTGTAATACCCCTCAAACTTTCTCTGTGGCCATGGAACATTTACTTTACCCAAATCTGGTTGCTGAAACACAAAAACAATTCATTAAGTTATAATTCATTTAATATCTTCATCATTTATAGTGGAACATGACTTAAATATAAATACTGAATATTATGCTGAAGCAGCTTTCCGGGGCTTTGTATTTTGCTACAAGGACCATAGGAAAAATAGATATCCAGGGTGATTGAAGCTACATAATGCACAAGTAAGATGGGAACCAATGAAGAAAAATAGTCTGGCACTTCTTTAAATGGTGACGTATTTGTTATTATCATAATATGGAATTTTCTGTCTGTTGAATCATATATTATAAGTGTTTGATAATTTGCGTGTATTTTAGGGAAAAAAAATTAAAGGTTTATAATAAAACTAAAAACACTGGTTTCCTTGTAGAACTGAGTTAATTATCAAGTTGTAGAACAAAGTATTTACTTGTTACAGCAATAATGAGTTAATTATCAAGTTGTAGAACAAAGTATTTCCTTGTTACAGCAATAATGAGTTAATTATCAAGTTGTAGAACAAAGTATTTACTTGTTACGGCAATAATGAGTTAATTATCAAGTTGTAGAATAAAATATTTACTTGTTACAGCAATAATGAGTTAATTATCAAGTTGTAGAACAAAGTATTTACTTGTTACGGCAATAATGAGTTAATTATCAAGTTGTAGAACAAAGTATTTACTTGTTACGGCAATAATGAGTTAATTATCAAGTTGTAGAACAAAGTATTTACTTGTTACGGCAATAATGAGTTAATTATCAAGTTGTAGAACAAAGTATTTACTTGTTACGGCAATAATGAGTTAATTATCAAGTTGTAGAACAAAGTATTTCCTTGTTACAGCAATAATGAATTAATTATCAAGTTGTAGAACAAAATATTTCCTTGTTACAGCAATAATGAGTTAATTATCAAGTTAACAAAGTATTTCCTTGTTACGGCAATAATGAGTTAATTATCAAGTTGTAGAACAAAGTATTTCCTTGTTACAGCAATAATGAATTAATTATCAAGTTGTAGAACAAAATATTTACTTGTTATGGCAATAATGAGTTAATTTTCAAGTTGTAGAACAAAGTATTTCCTTGTTACGGCAATAATGAGTTAATTATCAAGTTGTAGAACAAAGTATTTACTTGTTACGGCAATAATGAGTTAATTATCAAGTTGTAGAACAAAGTATTTACTTGTTACGGCAATAATGAGTTAATTATCAAGTTGTAGAACAAAATATTTACTTGTTACGGCAATAAATGAGTTAATTATCAAGTTGTAGAACAAAGTATTTACTTGTTACAGCAATAATGAGTTAATTATCAAGTTGTAGAACAAAGTATTTACTTGTTACGGCAATAATGAGTTAATTATCAAGTTGTAGAACAAAGTATTTACTTGTTACGGCAATAATGAGTTAATTATCAAGTTGTAGAACAAAGTATTTACTTGTTACGGCAATAATGAGTTAATTATCAAGTTGTAGAACAAAGTATTTACTTGTTACGGCAATAATGAGTTAATTATCAAGTTGTAGAACAAAGTATTTACTTGTTATGGCAATAATGAGTTAATTATCAAGTTGTAGAACAAAGTATTTCCTTGTTACGGCAATAATAATGAGTTAATTATCAAGTTGTAGAACAAAGTATTTACTTGTTACAGCAATAATGAGTTAAATTATCAAGTTGTAGAACAAAGTATTTACTTGTTACAGCAATAATGAGTTAATTATCAAGTTGTAGAACAAAGTATTTACTTGTTACGGCAATAATGAGTTAATTATCAAGTTGTAGAACAAAGTATTTACTTGTTACGGCAATAATGAGTTAATTATCAAGTTGTAGAACAAAGTATTTACTTGTAACTGCAATAATGAGTTAATTATCAAGTTGTAGAACAAAGTATTTACTTGTAACTGCAATAATGAGTTAATAATCAAGTTGTAGAACAAAATATTTCCTTGTTATGGCAATAATGAGTTAATTATCATGTTGTAGAACAAAGTATTTACTTGTTACGGCAATAATGAGTTAATTATCAAGTTGTAGAACAAAATATTTACTTGTTACGGCAATAATGAGTTAATTATCAAGTTGTAGAACAAAGTATTTACTTGTAACTGCAATAATGAGTTAATTATCAAGTTGTGTAGAACAAAGTATTTACTTGTTACCGCAATAATGAGTTAATTATCAAGTTGTAGAACAAAGTATTTACTTGTTACGGCAATAATGAATTAATTATCAAGTTGTAGAAACAAATATTTACTTGTTACGGCAATAATGATTAATTATCAAGTTGTAGAACAAAGTATTTACTTTACGGCAATAATGAGTTAATTATCAAGTTGTAGAACAAAGTATTTACTTGTTACGGCAATAATGAGTTAATTATCAAGTTGTAGAACAAAGTATTTACTTGTTACGGCAATAATGAGTTAAATTATCAAGTTGTAGAACAAAGTATTTACTTGTTACGGCAATAATAATGAGTTAATTATCAAGTTGTAGAACAAAATATTTCCTTGTTACGGCAATAATGAGTTAATTATCAAGTTGTAGAACAAAGTATTTACTTGTTACGGCAATAATGAATTAATTATCAAGTTGTAGAACAAATATTTACTTGTTACGGCAATAATGAATTAATTATCAAGTTGTAGAACAAAGTATTTACTTTTACAGCAATAATGAGTTAATTATCAAGTTGTAGAACAAAGTATTTACTTGTTACGGCAATAATGAGTTAATTATCAAGTTGTAGAACAAAGTATTTACTTGTTACGGCAATAATGAGTTAATTATCAAGTTGTAGAACAAAGTATTTACTTGTTACGGCAATAATAAAGAGTTAATTATCAAGTTGTAGAACAAAGTATTTCCTTGTTACGGCAATAATGAGTTAATCATCAAGTTGTAGAACAAAGTATTTACTTGTTACGGCAATAATGAGTTAATTATCAAGTTGTAGAACAAAGTATTTACTTGTTACGGCAATAACGAGTTAATTATCAAGTTGTAGAACAAAGTATTTACTTGTTACGGCAATAACGAGTTAATTATCAAGTTGTAGAACAAAGTATTTACTTGTTACGGCAATAATGAGATAATTATCAAGTTGTAGAACAAACTATTTACTTGTTACAGCAATAATGAGATAATTATCAAGTTGTAGAACCAAATATTTCCTTGTTACGGCAATAATAATGAGTTAATTATACAGGTGCATAATAATTCCTTGAAATAAATAAATGTGAAAAGTTTCAAATAAAATATTTTTCCCCCTAAAAAATTAATAGTTTTAGTAAAGCATTCATCAAATTCATACATAACAGGAAAGCAAATTAAAAATATAATTCTATAAATATTCTGCTGAAATCATATGCCTATATAGGGAGATATTTAACCATATTGTGCAATTAATGACCATTAAACCATTTGATTGTTGTCAACAATATTAGTGCATTTTTTACCTACCTTTACCTCCAGTATAAAATTAGGTACCTACATTATACAACATATATTTACAAGTTTCTATGTTTGTAAGTGTTTCTATGTAGGAAGATAGAGTAAATACTAGTCCTACAGTAGTTATTTAAAAACACAACAATTTTAATATAATAGAAGACTTTCTATGTGTCGAACTTTGAAAATACAATTTTTTGATGTGTCAAAATGAAAGTCCCGACTTTTTTTTTCAATATATATTCTTTATTGTTCTCACCATTTTATTTTATATTCAAATTTTTATGTGTTCATTTTTATATCGATGTGTCGATGTTTTCATGTGATTTGTAAAGAATAATATTAGAACACATTAAATAAGTCAAAATCCATTACAAGAATGGTAACCTCAAGTTTTTTTCCGCTTTAAATGTTTCTGTTATCATATTCTAACAACATGCCAAGTATTGAACAGTTTTAATTTTGCCTATATGTCTAAATGAAAACTTCCAAAAACGTCTTTAATATGTATTACATCACCTTTTACGACGTAGAAACTTACTTTAATATGTGTGTGACATAAAAACTTACTTTAATATATGTGTGACATAGAAACTTACTTTAATATATGTGTGACATAGAAACTTACTTTAATATGTGTGTGACATAGAAACTTACTTTAATATGTGTGTGACATAGAAACTTACTTTAATATATGTGTGACATAGAAACTTATTTTAATATATGTGTGACATAGAAACTTATTTTAATATATGTGTGACATAGAAACTTACTTTAATATGTGTGTGACATAGAAACTTACTTTAATATATGTGTGACATAAAAACTTACTTTAATATATGTGTGACATAAAAACTTACTTTAATATATGTGTGACATAGAAACTTACTTTAATATATGTGTGACATAGAAACTTACTTTAATATGTGTGTGACATAGAAACTTACTTTAATATGTGTGCGACGTAGAAACTTACTTTAATATATGTGTGACATAAAAACTTACTTTAATATATGTGTGACATAGAAACTTACTTTAATATATGTGTGACATAAAAACTTACTTTAATATATGTGTGACATAAAAACTTACTTTAATATATGTGTGACATAGAAACTTACTTTAATATATGTGTGACATAGAAACTTACTTTAATATGTATGATATCATTTTCTTTGACATAGAAACTTACTTTAATATGTATGACATCATGTTCTGTGACGTATTTCTGTATCATATTTGCAGTTTCTTCATGGCCACAATCTTGACTTACAATAATAGGGAATCTTTTAGCATCTGGTCGATATCTGCAATAAATATCATCTTATTTCAGAGAAAAAATTGTAGCATCCGTGCATTATCTATATAGAAAACTGTAGCATCACGGTAATATCTACAATAAATGTTTTGTTATTTCACAGAGAGTTGTAGCATGAGGTTGATTAAAGACTATATGTTCACACTTAGACTATGTTTACACTTACTTAAATACTATATGTTCACACTAAGACTATGTTTACACTTACTTTAATACTATATGTGCACACTAAGACTATGTTTACACTTACTTTAATACTATATGTTCACACTAAGACTATATTAACATTTACTTTAATACAATATGTTCACATTAAGAATATGTTAACACTTATATTAATACTATATGTTCACACTTAGACTATGTTAACATTTATATTAATACTATATGTTCACACTTAGACTATGTTAACACTTATATTAATACTAAAAGTTCACACAAAGTATATGTTAACACTTACTTTGATACTTTATGTTCACATTAAGACTATGTTCACACTAAGTATAAATAAACTATATGAACCAGATTAGCTCAATAGGGATAGCAATGGCTAAGTAATCCATCGGTACCTGATTCAATCCTCTGGCAAGAAAATTTCTTTATGACAACTAATCTTGAATATTTTAAATTTATTTATCTATCACCACTGATTTATTGGTAATTGGTCACTTAGTAAGAAAATGGTAATTACTAATAAGGTGGATAAACAAGCTAAATATGCCTAAAAACAAGGAAAAACAAACATACACAATATATGAACAATAACTTTAATATTATTAGTTTACTAATAACTATATTAACACTTAAATTAATACTATATGTTCACTTTAATACTATATGTTTACTTTAATATTACATGTTCACTTTAAGACTATGTTCACTTTTAAACTATATGTTCACTTGAAGACTATATGTCTACTATAAGACTATATGTCCACTTTAAAACTGCATGTTCACTTCAAGACTACATGTTCACTTAAAGACTACATGTTCACTTCAAGACTACATGTTCACTTCAAGACTACATGTTCACTTCAAGACTACATTTCACTTCAAGACTACATGTTCACTTCAAGACTACATGTTCACTTTAAGACTACATGTTCACTTTAAGACTACATGTTCACTTAAAGACTACATGTTCACTTTAAGACTACATGTTCACTTTAAGACTACATGTTTACTTCAAGACTACATGTTCACTTCAAGACTACATGTTCACTTTAATACTACATGTTCACTTTAAGACTACATGTTCACTTTAAGAATACATGTTCACTTTAAGACTACATGTTCACTTTAAGACTACATGTTCACTTCAAGACTACATGTTCCCTTTAAGACTACATTTCACTTCAAGACTACATGTTCACTTCAAGACTACATGTTCACTTCAAGACTACATGTTCCCTTTAAGACTACATTTCACTTCAAGACTACATGTTCACTTTAAGACTACATGTTCACTTCAAGACTACGTGTTCAATTCAAGACTACATGTTCACTTCAAGCCTACATGTTCACTTTAAAACTACATTTTCCCTTTAAGACTACATGCTCACTTTAATACTACATGTTCATTTAATACTACATGTTCATTTAATACTACATGTTCACTTGAATACCATATGTTCAGTTTACTTTAATACTATATGTTCACTTTAATACTACATGTTCACTTTAATACTATATGTTCACTTACTTCAGTACAAGATCTAAACTTCGTTGTATGGCATCAGCCCTATTACAGGCAATCATTAAGATAGGAAGTATAACATTATCAGCTTTCACTTTGTTATAACTAAGTTTATTCTCTAGACCACCTGTGTTATTAGGTTTTACAATCTTAGGGACAGCTTGACTCACTACTTCATTACTTGGCTGCTTCTGCTTTTGTTCTGAAAATAATTCATATACAAATATATGATATATATGATCAGTGATTTTTCTGCTTATATAACAGACTCCAATAAAAGGCCTCTTCCCAATTGAAATTTTCTTTAAAATCATGCAGTTTTCCCAAAAATGTAAAAATAAACCTGATTTTTTACTTCCCAAATTAACAATTTTAACGATAATTCCCCCTCCCCCCCCCAAAAAAGTGGCTTAGGCCTCTTCCCAGTTTAGTGATGATACATGTATAATAGACAGAGTTGCATTACTGGTACTGGTACTGCAGTATGTACTGCAGCAATTTTGCAAGTACTGGTGCTGATACTGAATTACTCTTACAAAATTTTGCTACTACTGGTACTGATAGTCTATTATTAAAAGACTGTTAAAAATGGGCATGTCTACATCATTTAACATTTATAATTTTTATAAACACAACCCAGCCAATGTTTCCACATATTACAACAACTAATGTAAGTAAATTATCGCTCAATCTTTTTTCTTTTAAATTTTTCAATAATATTGTTTGAATTATCATTATACATTGCAGTAAATTAAACACAGGGGCCATAACTCTTTAACACTTAATCTGCTAAAATGAGATAATGACTTTGCCCTGCTTTGGAAAAGTTTATACAAAAGTATAATACATTAAGGGAAAAACAATGACCCCTGGGGCGTGGCAAATTTTGACCCCAGGGCTTTTTTTTTAACAAACTTGGTAGACACCCACTAGAAGATGTTTCATGCTTAATATCTAAGCTGTAGCTATTTGGGTTTTTTAAAAGAACATTTTTTTTTAGTTTTTACTATAAACCAATAAGGAAAATCAATGACCCCCTGGGGCGGGGCAAATTTTGACCCCAGGGCTTTTATTTGAACAAAGTGACTAGACACTGCCAGATGATGTTGCATGCTAAATATTTAAGCTCTAGCTCTTTCGTTTTTTAAAAAGAAGATTTTTTTAAGTTTTTTCTTTCGGTTGCCATGGCAACCAGAGTTCTGCATGGAATTAAATTCTTTGTACATTTCTTGAAAGTTAATTACCACAGGAACATTCCTGTAAAGCTTGGATGAAATTGGCTTAGAGGTTTATGAGGAGATGTTGTTTATAGAAAAAGTTGACTGACGGACGATGGCCGGACGCTGGCCGGACACGAGACGAAAAGCCGTCACAAGAGCTAATAACAACTTCAAAATAATGCAATCTCAAAGTAACCAATCAGTTTTAATATTGTACATGTATCTTATCAATGCAATAGAACATGTTTTTTCTATTTAAACTGATTGTAATATCACTGAAAAACTAAATCTACAAAGTCTTTAAATGTTTAAATAGATTGAAGAAATTTTATCATTTGCCAACACTGAAAGAATAGCAAGGTATTTGTTCAATTTCGTTATCTTGAGTCATTTGATAATCTAAATAAAGAGGAAGTATAAAAAATCAGCATACATAATCTTTTGATTTTTATAATAAATGAGAACAAGATAAAACATGCATGCTTCTCTTCAAATTCTATGTAATATTTCATTTTTGTCATTATGAAATTTTCCTCAATATTGATAAAATAACTCTAATTAAGACATTAAGTGACCACTTTCATATTTCAAGATGCAAAATCAAAGTTGTCATAGTTGACCCAAGAAACAGAATGACAAGACAAGACAAGAGGGCCATGATGGCCCTGAGGTCACTCACCTGTATAAAGGCACCCGGAGAGGGGCCAGTTTAAACCCCACGGCTTTTATTTGAACAAACTTGGAAGACACCCATTAGAAGATGTTTCAGAATGTTAAGTTTTTACTACACACATATAATGAAAAACAATGATCTACTCCTCCAACCCCGTCAGGGCCAATTTTAATCCAAGGGCTTTTATTTGAACAAACTTGGTAGACACCAATAAGAAGATGTTTCATGCTAAACATCTAAGCTCTAGCTCATTGGGTTTTTTAAAAGAAGATTTTTTAAGTTTTTACTATACACATATAGTTAAAAACAATGACACCCCTGGGGCGGGGCCAATTTTGACCCTAGGGCTTTTATTTGAACAAACTTTGTAGACACTCATTAGAAGATGTTTCATGCTAAATATCTTAGCTCTAGCTCTTTGGGTTCTTTAAAAGAAGATTTTTTAAGTTTTTATTATATGCATATAGGGAAAATCAAAGACCCCCTGGGGCGGGGCCAATTTTGACACCAGGGCTTTTATTTGAGCAAACTTGGTAGACACTCACTAGAAGATGTTTCATGCTTAATATCTAAACTCTAGGTATTTGGGTTTTTTCAAAGAAGATTTTTAAGTTTTTGCTATACACATATAAGGAAAATCAATGACCCCCGGGGCGGGGCCAATTTTGACCCCAGGGCTTTTATTTGAACAAACTTTGTAGACACTCACTAGAAGATGTTTCATGCTTAATATCTAAACACCAGCTTTTTGGGTTTTTTTCAAAGAAGATTTTTTAAGTTTTTGCTTTTCACATATAAGGAAAATCAATGACCCCCGGGGCGGGGCCAATTTTGACCCCAGGGCTTTTATTTGAACAAACTTGGTAGACACCCATTAGAAGATGTTTCATGCCAAATATCTAAGCTCTAGCTCTTAGGGTTTTTTAAAAGAAGATTTTTTAAGGTTTTCCTATTGGTTGCCATGGCAACCAGAGTTTTTAATGGTATTTAAATTTTGAACAACTTTGAAAGGGGTCCACCTAAGGATCATTTCTGTAAAGTTTGGTTGCAATTGGCCATGTGGTTTAGGAGGAGATGTTGTTTGAAAAGTTTGACGCCATTTTTTGAAGGACGCACGACGCACAGACGCACGAGGCACGACGGACGCAGAGTGATGACAAAAGCTCACCCTTGAGCACTTTGTGCTCAGGTGAGCTAAAAAATAGACAAGCAGGTCAAAAAACAAAATGGCCACAGATCTATTTAGCATAAAATCAGGGTAAATCTGGCAATTTTAAATCATATATTAGGATAAATGTTAGTAGATAATAATAAGTATATTATACATGTATATATAGGCGATACATATAAATGATATAAATGTAATATTTAGATAATAAATGACCTTTGACCTTTCTCTATATACAACTTTATAATTAATGACCTTTGACCTTTCTCTATATACAACATTATAATTAATGACCTTTGACCTTTCTCTATATACAACATTATAATTAAATGACCTTTCTCTATATACAACATTATAATTAATGACCTTTGACCTTTCTCTATATACAACATTATAATTAAATGACCTTTGACCTTTCTCTATATACAACATTATAATTAATGACCTTTGACCTTTCTCTATATACAGCATTATAATTAATGACCTTTGACCTTTCTCTATATACAACATTATAATTAATGACCTTTGACCTTTCTCTATATACAGCATTATAATTAATGACCTTTGACCTTTCTCTATATACAACATTATAATTAAATGACCTTTGACCTTTCTCTATATACAACATTATAATTAATGACCTTTGACCTTTCTCTATATACAGCATTATAATTAATGACCTTTGACCTTTCTCTATATACAACATTATAATTAATGACCTTTGACCTTTCTCTATATACAACATTATAATTAATGACCTTTGACCTTTCTCTATATACAACATTATAATTAAATGACCTTTGACCTTTCTCTATATACAACATTATAATTAATGACCTTTGACCTTTCTCTATATACAACATTATAATTAATGACCTTGACCTTTCTCTATATACAACATTATAATTAATGACCTTTGACCTTTTCTCTATATACAACATTATAATTAATGACCTTTGACCTTTCTCTATATACAGCATTATAATTAATGACCTTTGACCTTTCTCTATATACAACATTATAATTAATGACCTTTGACCTTTCTCTATATACAACATTATAATTAATGACCTTTTGACCTTTCTCTATATACAACATTATAATTAATGACCTTTGACCTTTCTCTATATACAACATTATAATTAATGACCTTTGACCTTTCTCTATATACAACATTATAATTAATGACCTTTGACCTTTCTCTATATACAACATTATAATTAATGACCTTTGACCTTTCTCTATATACAACATTATAATTAATGACCTTTGACCTTTCTCTATATACAACATTATAATTAATGACCTTTGACCTTTCTCTATATACAACATTGACTCTACCTGTCTCACTCCTCAACTTACGAAGATCGTGTAAAATTTTCTCATTTTCTTGAATCTGAAGAACAATTTGCTCTTGAAGGTCATTAAGTTTGACCTTGACATCTCCATGGTGATGTTGCTGTAAAAATAAATAAAAACAAGAAAATTTATCTATGTAATGTCAGGCATACTTAACATTAGTGTATCAAAGTTGTGTATGTATTTAGTGCATGTGACATGTGTGTATGCCAGTGCTAGAAGTTTTAAAAAAATAACTTGAATAATGATGATTTTGGAAAAACTGGAAAAGAAAGATTGATCATATAAGATTTACTACATACAGTATGAATTTGTCTTGAAGGCAGATGACACTCATTTTATTTTATGTAGATTACAACCAGTGGGTGTTATATTTACATTGCAAATTTTCCACCAAAAAATATAACAGCAATGTTATACAAAACACATAATTCAAACATGTTTTTTGTTTTTTTTTCTGTTTTCATGTCTGATAATGGTGAGAACAGCTCAGATATTTATGTAGATATGACACAAGATAAAGTAGTAATATATATATATGATCATGTCACTGTATATTAGAAGAATCATTTCTCAATATATGTTCCTGTTTTATATCTACATGTATAAGTTTTTTACTAATTGATTAGCGAGTTAAACATGATAAAATATATCACAGTATCTAAACCAGTGTCTATTCTAGGAAAGTGGATGGGGGGATTCACTCATTTTTTTGAGAATCCATCCTATTTTTTCAGAGCCAGGGGGAAATTTTACATAGAGAAAGAAGAAAAAAAGATCATCAAATGTATTAAGTTATCACTTTTCGATAAAAATCCCCTGTTTTTTTAATCCTAGAATAGACACTGCTTAACATTAAATCAACTAAAAGACGGATTTAAATATCTACCTAGATAACTTTCAAGTTGGTGAATATACGATCTAATAAAATACCTGAATATTTACTTAAGTTATAAAACTTTTTGATAAATAGGAACAAACTAATTAAAATACATTACTAGCTCATAAATAACAAAAAATGAATGGAGCAGTTTAAACAATTTGTGAAATAATTTAATGTCTGCACTTTTTACTAGTCGCTTAATTTATGTTGTATTGTCTACTCTATAAGAAATCTTGTTTAACTTATCTAAAGTTAATAAAAACGATATTACACTTGTGTTAAATAACACTTTGACGTGACATCATTTGCGCAATATAGAAACATAGCATTAAAGCGCGCTAATGTAAGTGTTACACTATAGGTGCGTCATTGAAAAAAAAGACTCATTTTAACAGTTTCACTGTTCTTATTTTATATATGTGATAAATAGAATATTATATTTGTGTAGATTCAATACTAAATTTATTAAATTGTTGAATAAAACAATATTATTTTCTTCAACTTGTTCAATAATTTTAGTATTTAACTACACTCATTCAATATCCTCTATATAACAGTCTTCGAAATTAATGCCAGTCCGAGGCCCAAGGCCACTAAGTTTAGCATCGGTCCGGTGATTATAGCAAGCTTGGTGGTCCAACAGACCAGTAGATTTTTTGTCATGAAAAAATATTATAAGAAAAATTCATCAAAATAATGAAGCAGGGTTCTCTAAAATATCTATCTTTTTGCCTTTTTTGCAAATGAAACCCATCAATTCTGTCCTAAATGTTCAAAACACAGCGAGAGATGTCTAAATTGTATTGAGTAATGGAGGCCGCCATTTTTTTCTTGGATATTTTCCGTACCGCACCATACAGTTACGGAAATTAAACCATTGTTTATTATGGTCATTATTTAGCTATGATTTTGTGATTATTGAGTTAAGTAAATATTTGGTATGAAAGTGATTTGTTTGAAGCAAATTTCGTTGTTCATGTTCAATTCTAGTCAATTTTGCCTAATTATTTGGTTCTTAAAGATTTTTCTAAGCTGTCAACATATGGCCAAGAATACAAGACGTATTATGCTTCTTTCAAAATTATCAAGGGAAGCATGATAAAGTGTTTTCCTGTTCCCATCAATTTATTACATATCTATGTATTTGGTCCAGCTAAAAATCACCTAGGACATCTACCAGGTCCAGTAAGATTTGATATTTTACTGGCCCGAATGTCCTGCGCTTTTTAAAGTTTTTCGTGAAGACTGATATAATTTAAAATAGTGTTTTAATGTAGAAAATTTAAAAAGAATTCTCTGCCTGCATTGGTAGAAAAGTAAGTATAATATACTAGTATAAAATATGTACCAGTGCATTTGGTGATTTCGTTACCAGGGTAACATACATCAACATGTTCCACGTGAGAAACATCACCACAACAAAGAAGATAACATGTTTGCGACGCATTCTGTCCGTCTGTCTGTACACACTAGAACCACCACTTTTACAATCATCTAGCCATTGATGAATAAATCTGTGAAATATAAATTATACATATTATTTATACAGAACATATGCTTATATCTCATATTTTATACAGAGAACATATGCTTTTATCCCATATTATATACACAGAACATATGATTATATCTTATATTATATACACAGAACAAAATTTATGCTTTTATCTCATATTATATACACAGAACATATGATTATATCTCATATTATATACACAGTACATATGCTTATATCTCATATTATATACACAGTACATATGATTATATCTCATATTATATACACAGAACATATGATTATATCTCATATTATATACAGAGAACATATGCTTTTATCTCATATTATATACACAGAACAATGCTTATATCTCATATTATATACACAGTACATATGCTTATATCTCATATTATATACACAGAACATATGCTTATATCTCATATTATATACACAGAACATATGATTATATCTCATATTATATACACAGAACATATGCTTTTATCTCATATTATATACACAGAACATATGATTATATCTCATATTATATACACAGAACATATGATTATATCTCATATTATATACACAGTACATATGATTATATCTCATATTATATACACAGAACATATGATTATATCTCATATTATATACAGAGAACATATGCTTTTATCTCATATTATATACACAGAACAATGCTTATATCTCATATTATATACACAGTACATATGATTATATCTCATATTATTTATACAGAACATATGCTTTTATCTCATATTATATACACAGAACAATGCTTATATCTCATATTATATACACAGTACATATGATTATATCTCATATTATATACACAGAACATATGCTTTTATCTCATATTATATACACAGAACATATGCTTTTATCTCATATTATATACACAGTACATATGATTATATCTCATATTATATACAAAAACATATGCTTTTATCTCATATAATATAAACAGAACATATGCTTTTGGTGAACACAAACTTGTATCTTGGTGAAAACATACATGTACTTATATTTCAGTGAACAATTACTTATATCTTGGTATATATACAGCCTAACTACACTATTTGTGGTTGTAAATCAATATACTTTTAATGTGGCAATTTCAGCAACAAATCTTTTCAAATCGTAAATCATGATATAAAATATACGTGTGACATTATTGTTATTCATTTTTATGGATAAACAAATATGTTTATGAATCATATTTATAACTTACATACGTAACTTTGTGAACATGTCAATATCTTTATATCTAGTTTGATAGATAACATTATTTTACAGTAATACAACATTAAAGGGCTATAATTTTAAACAGGACTTTAAATTAAATAGTATACAATTCAAGGGTTATCAAATTGTAAACAACTCGAGAGTTATTAAAAAGTTCTGTAAAAGCGCAATGCACACATAGTTTAAGCGCGGTATAGACGCCGCACAATATCCGTACAAGCACCGTGGCTTAAACCACGGCGTTCATTTTGGCGTTCCTTTAACGCTTTCACAGCCCTCCTGTTGCGTTGTGGGAAATGCTACTAAGTTGCTACCACTCCTAACTGCAACTTGACTGAGCTTTTACCAGAATGTCGACCGACAGCGTTTTTTAAAGCATGCTCAGAATGCACCCTGTCAGTTGGCATTCTATGCGATGCCACAAGGATGCTGTGGCTTTGTTTGCGATCTTACTGCGCTCACCTTGGCTTTCTGGATTTTCTCTGGATGCTGTGAGAACGCCGCCCTAGTGTGACAGGAGTTTAACAGATGATTTTTAAACTCATAACACACAGAGTGGCACATAAGGTCTAAATTCTCCATCAGTAAAAGTAGAAAGTTGTTATATGACATAAACTGTGTTGGTACAACCGTACAACTATAATCGAATCATCTTTGTACATATTATATACATGATATCTTTTATATCTATATAGTATTAAAGTAAAATTCTCCTGCTTTTTTCTGTTTAAAGATAAAAGAGGCCATGTGTCATTTAATAAGAAATGACCAGCATACGAAGGTATAGTCCGTATAAAGTTTCAACTACACACAGTAATTTATTATAGTATACGCTATATGTTGAAATCAATAACTTAATTGATTTTTCAATTTCCAATATACTGCTCTCTTAATTGGTATTCTTTAAATATTATGTTACTTAATTAACAAATATTTGTAATAAATTTGTTCATATAACATTAGCGACCATGTTAAACTTGGAAAATACTGTAGACCTCTATAGACACTAAGATTATTATGTACAAACACAACTTAAATCTTAAATGTACAAGCAAATCTTAATGTGTGAAAGCTACTATTTCTTTCATTAATAAACCTTAATACTATGTTTGTTTGTTTGTTTCATTTTACGCCTTTATCCAACAGTATTTCAGTAATTTAGGCAGGTAGTTTCCTAGCCATCGTTTCTGGAGAGTTGCACCAGTACTAGACTACCTTCCTCCATGCTAAACTACCAAAGCAACTCCCGGGGATCGAACCCATGCCAGAGAGGCCTAAACACTAGATTTACAGGATTGACCATGTTCTTTTTTTGTTATCCTTAATGTGCGTAGAACTCCCACGGTGACAATTGACAGATTTCCAAATTATCACCTGATAATGTGAGCGACAAATAAAATTCCTTAACAATTCGGACTAAAACGTAAACATAATGTTTGAAGAGAGTAGGACTAAAGTCTTCAGGACTGAAGCCAAATCTATGGGATGTCCCAATCCCAAATTATTCAACGCGTTGTGGAATATTATAATGTTTTAACAGTTGTGTACTTGTTCAACAGAATTCAGTATTGTACACTGCCAGGTTTAACCTCATATTAGTGTTTGAAATTATTTTTTGTCCAATAGGATTGCAGTATTTCAAATGAATCGTAACACAAATTTACTTTGGTGAATCAGCAAACTGTTAATCATTCTAGTAAATTGACTGTTTATAAAAAATAATTTAAAACACTAAGCCGGTTAAAATTTACTAGTACCTATTTACAAAATTAAATTGGTCGTGCGATTTTAACATATACATGTACTTATCATACCCCTCCATTTGTGCAAACTTAGCTTTCTTGAATAAATATGCTGTTTATTAAAACAAACCTTTTAAACATTTTATAATCCATTCATATAACAAAATAAATCACATCATTTAAATGTATTACTGTACAGTTATAAATGTTACATATAATGACAATGACATAAGTTTACACCTGTAAGATGTACTATATATGCATGTTTAATTACCAGAAACAACTGTCAAAACATGATACATGTCCAGCCAAGTTAAAACTTTAAATCATTTATATATACGAATATAGCCCAGGGACAATTAAAAATAATTACTTGTTTCCTTAATATCTGAATGCTTGGACATTCACAGTGAACCTCAAGTCATTTTTTTTTATAATTGTTTTTATACTCATTATTACTGGCTATTATGCACAGTATAGAGATTTAAAACACAAGAGTAAAAAGCATTTAAAAATAGAAATTACTAATTATAAGGGTCCTAACCCTAATATCTATAACTAATTATGAGAATCCTAACCCTAATATCTATAACTAATTATGAGAATCCTAACCTTAATATCTATAACTAATTATGAGAATCCTAACCCTAATATCTATAACTAATTTTGAGGATCCTCACCCTAATATGTATAACTAATTATGAGGATCCTTACCCTAATATCTATAACTAATTATGAGAATCCTCGCCCTAATATCTATAACTAATTATGAGAATCCTTACCCTAATATCTATAACTAATTATGAGAATCCTCGCCCTAATATCTATAACTAATTATGAGAATCCTCACCCTAATATCTATAACTAATTATGAGAATCCTCGCCCTAATATCTATAACTAATTATGAGAATCCTCGCCCTAATATCTATAACTAATTATGAGAATCCTCACCCTAATATCTATAACTAATTATGAGAATCCTCACCCTAATATCTATAACTAATTATGAGAATCCTCACCCTAATATCTATAACTAATTATGAGAATCCTCACCCTAATATCTATAACTAATTATGAGAACTAATATCTATAACTAATTATGAGAATCCTCACCCTAATATCTATAACTAATAATGAGAATCCTCGCCCTAATATCTTTAACTAATTAATGAGAATCCTCACCCAAATATCTATATAACTAATTATGATTACAGAAGAATCCTCACCCTAATATCTATAAATAATTATGAGAATCCTCGCCCCTAATATCTATAACTAATTATGAGAATCCTCACCCTTATATCTATAACTAATTATGAGAATCCTCACCCTAATATCTATAACTAATTATGAGAATCCTCACCCTAATATCTATAACTAATTATGAGAATCCTCGCACTAATATCTATAACTAATTATGAGAATCCTCACCCTAATATCTATAACTAATTATGAGAATCCTCGCCCTAATATCTATAACTAATTATGAGAATCCTCGCCCTAATATCTATAACTAATTATGAGAATCCTCACCCTAATATCTATAACTAATTATGAGAATCCTCGCCCTAATATCTATAACTAATTATGAGGATCCTTGCCCTAATATCTTAACTAATTATGAGGATCCTCACCCTTATATCTATAACTAATTATGAGAATCCTCGCCCATATATCTGTAACTAATTATGAGAATCCTCGCTCTAATATCTATAACTAATTATGAGAATCCTCGCCCTAACATCTATAACTAATTATGAGAATCCTCGCCCTAATATCTATAACTAATTATGAGGATCCTTGCCCTAATATCTTAACTAATTATGAGGATCCTCACCCTTATATCTATAACTAATTATGAGAATCCTCGCCATAATATCTATAACTAATTATGAGAATCCTCGCTCTAATATCTATAAACTAATTATGAGAATCCTCGCCCTAATATCTATAACTAATTATGAGAATCCTCGCTCTAATATCTATAAATAATTATGAGAATCCTCGCCCTAATATTAT